TTTGCCTTTCTTTCAGAGAAAGGAAAGGCAGAGAGATGCATCTTTAACATCCCTTCTATGCTGCTCAGCAAGTACAGTCAATTAAATATGGGTGGGAACCGCTGATACCTTTTCATTCCCTGCCTATGAAATGCCTCTGGAAGAACTGTTTTTTCTAGTACTGGGATGGTTTGTCTGTACTGGTTTTGTTTTTGTTTTTGTTTTTTTTTGTGGTTTGTTGATGTTGGTGACATTCCTTAGCGTTTTGGGTCACTGTGACCATTTTAATCAAAAAGTGTGGTTGTGGATGCAGCTAGAGTCAAACAGCCGTGAGAAATACTGTATGTGGAGGAAAGTGAAGTTAGCCGTATTTTGAATGACTGACTGTTGGTGCTCTTCCGGGGCCTACAAATGAGAGGACCTTGTGATTTTCCCTCGTTAAAACTTCTCAGCAAGCTATATTCAGTCATCTGTGAATTTCTTGTAGTAGAAGTTTTTAACGCTCACAAATAGCGTTTTGTAGTATGCTGAGCTCTGTGGAAAATAGATGCTTTTGTTTTTCTTCAAGTAAAATGTTCAGAATTCTTACATGGCTGTAACAATTTGGCTGGTATTGAACGCTAAATGAAAAAAAGTCATTGGAAGTACAAGTGATATCAGATCAAACTAATTTTTTTTTTGCCTGGTTCCATGGTTATGCTCTGATCTTGCTGAATATTGAAGCTTCCAGGGAAAAAATTGGGTCCTTAAGGAAAGCTGTTGGTTTTTGGACTTTTTTTTTGTAATATGACGGCGAAGAAACTCGAAATGCTCTAGAAATGTTCATCAAACATGAATTTAATGAATGTGAAAGAGGTTTTGCTGAGGGGGATTTTTTTAGGGTTTGTTTGTTTGTTTGTTTTTTTTTTTTGAATAAAGGTGGGACTTTCTAAGACTTGGGAGATTGTTTTTCAGAGTTTGTTTCAGGAATGACCAGCACAGTGAATTTGGGGGAAGTACTGGTTTTAACCTTGAAGTGCTGGTGTGAATGTTTTTTTCCACTGTGAATCAAATGCATGGAACGGGATGTTTCTCAGCAAGTCAAGGTTCACAGTACTGTCCCATGAGTGGACATGTTTGTGACTTGAGCAGGAGGTTGACTAGAGCAGGTGCTTCTCGGCTTATTATTCGATTTTATTCTTGAATCAAATGCACTTTCCCTTTCTTTCAGATCTCCAGGTTTTGGGTTGTGCCTTGTTGCAGAAACTATCAATGGCACTATTCTGAGTGCTGAGCTAGCCTCAAACCCTCAGGGCCAGGGAGTCGCTGTGCTGCCTGAGGAACTGGGCCAGAATTGTGCTAAGCTGCTCCTTGAGGAGGTGTACCGGGTAAGTGGCCAATATAGCCTGTGTGTATAACTAAAGGGAAGAAGGTGGTGACCTGAGGGTAAGGGGATAGGTGGTGTGAGAGCACCCTCAGGCTGGCTCAGATCCAGCCAAAGAAATGAGCTGGTGCTGCCAGGGTCGTCTTAATCCAGGTGAAAAGTGTTTTCAAATTGTTCCATGAACGGTGCAGCGACTTGCTGTGCCATGCTATTTCCTCTGCAGGAGGTGTATTACCATGAGTTACAGTAGAGACAAACTTTGCTTTTGTTGCATGAGAATGTAGTTGGTTTTACATGGGTTGTTGTTTTTTTTAATTATTTATTTTTGTTAGTAAAGTGGAGTTGTAGCTGAGTCAGGGCTCTGAAACTAGTGGTGGAAGTGGGGCATTGTGAGTGGGTGGAGGTGTGAGGAGGAAGAAAAATGAGCCGCCAGTCTCAATGCTGGCTGCTTTGCTGTGATAATGACAAAAGTCAAATGTGTTGAGATCTGTTGCTTGTATGAGGAATTGGCCAAATGGTTTCTTGGAAAGGAGCTAGGACAGTGTTTGCATAGAAATCTGAGTGCATTACAGCCTTCCACAGCATAATTTTTTGTATTAGAAATGCTTGTTTTCATTTATGGTGAGGTTTTTATGTGGATAACCAGCTTTCAGTCTTAAAAATGATTTAGTGATTAGAAGCACAGTGAGAGTTTCTCATTTAATAAAGAACATAACTGCTTTTGTTGTTTATCTCAACAAATGTCAAAATAAGTGGCTATTAGTATTGACAACACATATTTGGCCTTTAGGAGGCAGCCATCTACAGATTGTGCTCAGTGCTTTAAAAAGTAATTGCTCTGACTTAAGTCCTATCAGGTTACTTCCAAAAAAAACATCAAAAATTTCATTAATGAGGTCCTGTATTAGGTAACTTGGTTATAAAAGTGCTCCTTAATCTCACGCATTGTATCCATGCTTGCACTAGCTCGCTAATCTGTGCTTATTGCTGTCTTCTGCTTTTCCTGATCAGAACCCATCTTCTTCCCCTGTCTGAATAACTAGCTTGCCCGCTTGCTCCATTAATATTCCATTCATGTTTCATTTTGTCTTCCATTAATATCTTGTTTGTGTTTCTTCAGTATGTGTTGGAACTCAAATATAATTGTGACGTTCCTGAAGGAAAATGTTCCTTTCTCTACTTCACGTATGTCTAAAACTTGTAGTCTTAAATGTGCCATGTTGCTAGAGGACAGGGGAAATGCAAATACCCAGGTGCTATGAACGGCCTTTGAGACCACCTAATCCTTGGGTCTCCCAGGTAAATTGTTAGCTCTCCCTTTCCACCTAGATGCAAGCAGCGGAAAAGGTGCTGTTTTCTTTCCCAAACTGAGCTGCAGAGGTGTTTATGAAGGACAGCGTCATCCAGACAGCCATGGACTACCAGTATAGTTTCAGGCTTGCAGCAACTCTGCTGACTGTCCAGACTTGTAATGTGATTGTCTGCAAAACTGCAAGGGACTGTTTCTAACCCAGGGTTTTTAATCTAACAAAGGTGGTATGCTCGACTGTTCTTCCTGTTACAGTTGAGACGCCTTGCTTTTGAAAGTTCAGCCCTCAATATGCATGGAGAGCTAACAGGTACTTACTGTGAGGGAACATCTGTGTGTTTCTAGGAGCAATTGAGCATAGTGAGAGTCAGCTATTTTTATTTAAATGGGGTGAACTTTAAAATATTGCAGCTTCAGTTTTTGAAAAAGAGCTAAAATTCAGTACATCTGTTGCTTTGCATAAACCTCTTGGAAAAGATGTGCAGATAGTCAGATTAGAGGAGGCTTCAAAAATCCCGTTTCCTCATGGTTTTTATCAGTAGCAGTAGCTACTTATTTTCCTTTGAAAGCCATCCAGGACTTGATAGTTTGAAACTGGAGAGGGAATCTGTCCAGATATTATACTTTCTGCAGAGATAGGTGCCAGAGAACCTGCAAAATGAGGAGATCGGGAAAGGCTATGACCAGACAGTTATCTGCGCTACTGTCATGAACCACAGCCATTTGGATGGGAGGAGTCAAGTTCTGCAAAGCACACCAAGATAGTGAGGATCTCAGAGGAAAGCAGAGAAATGTATTTGGGGAAGAAACAGGCAATCCTTGGGTCAGGCAAGACTTTGATTGTTAAGGTGATGTGCCATCAGATGTCAATGTCTTTGGAGATCAAGTTCTCTTATGGGTCAATGAAGTTGTTAGCTGTGAACTGCCGTGGCACAGCAAACTCTTCTGGAAGGCTTTTTTCCATGTGGGTCTCTTCAGATTATGTCAAAGAATGACTGACAAGTGCTGAGCAGTGCGTGGACTGCTTTCAGCCCTCCCCTGCAGCCATTCTCAATGGAAAAATTCTTGTTTGTGAGCCTATCTGGTTATGTTGCTGCTTACCTGCTGGTTGCTCAGTCCTCGTTCAGTGTTCATGAATTCTCTGCTCCCTTTGTCGTAGGCGATACGGTATCTTTTGTTTTGTAGATTTTGGAATGCGCTCTTGAATTTGTGCATGACAGACAGGCACACGCAGCCCTAGCCTGGCATTTGGAAAGATGGACTTTGTCATTGACTTCCCTTTCTTTAACTTAGGTCAGTATGATCCAGCGTTGACCACAGAAAGGATAAAAAAAACACCTTGCAAAGTGTGCAATATTGTCTCGTTTTGAAGAAACTGTTTAAGTTTCTTTGCCTAGATTTATGAATTAGCTGTCTAATGAAACAGTATAAAGTTTGCATCCTGGCAAAGCCTGCTGCTCTGAGCAGGCAGACGTAAAGCCCTGCACTCTTTACACTGGCTGCTCGCTGAATACAGGGTTCAAGAGTGAATTTCGCTCCCTGTGCTCAGATTCCCTGCTGGGGATGGGTTTTACTGCGCAAGACTGTTTCTCACTCTGTCTTTGGCTGTAGTTGGTGTGCTCCAGGAGATGGGGAAGAGAGTTGATCAGAAAGGGGCATCTTGAGAACATGAGAGATGGATTCTCTGCAGAAGGGTTTTAGCTGTCAAAGTCACCCACAACCCTGCCAGAGTTCAATATTGTTTAAGGAGCTCTGAGGCATCTGCTACAGCGATGGCTTAATGCTAAATGGTCCCTCTCCTAAGCCTTCAAAAAGAAATTGAAGAGGACACGTGCTGCTCAGAATCAGTGGAGCTTGTTGTATGCACATTTATTGACTGAAGAGTGTCAGGGCTAATAGACTAATAACAACTGACACAGTGCTAATTACAGTTGCCCTGAAGGAGGGGCATGGAGTGACTAGCATTGTCCTACCTGAACTTAGTTGTTGAAGGCCATCGTGAACCCCTTCTCTTTGAAAGGTGCCAGTTATGGGAACTTTATGTAACAGGTAAGTGGCAGAATGAGAAGGCCTGGAAGAACTGGAAAAGGGTTGAAGGTGTATATTCCTTGCGACTGGGAGAACCAGGGAAGGGTGCAATACCTGTTTAAAGCTGAGCTACTTCATAAGGCAGGGGTGAGTTGTTATGGGGGCTTAAGAGGGCAAGGGGGTAAGGCTCTTGTCTTATTTAACCAGAGGTAAGCCAACTAGAGCACCTCAGGTTTCTTGAGGCACACAAGTATGTATGCACAGGCAAGTGAGGAAATTGTGCAAATGCCAAAACATAGCCAAGACTAAATCAAACCTTAATCTCAGAAGAATAATTCTCCTTGAAACACTGTTCTCCAGTATCTGGAATTATTTTTGTATATGCCTGTAGACTGTGGTATTTGTATTGCCACATTTCAAAGCAGACTGTATTTTAAGTGATTTGTGTCTCTAATTTTGTGCTGGGTCTGGCTGTGTTGTCAATGGAAACGATAATGGAGAAGCTGCCATAAATTGAAGTAATGTGGTCTAGAAGCTGCATCCTGAACTGCTAATGAGTGCCAGCCGTTTTGGAACAAATGTCAATACTTTGGCTCTGACATCACCCATCCCGTTTCTAGTGGGAGGTTTGCTTTGGTTTTGGACCCTTGAGAAAGCGGCAGGTGAATTGAGAGAACAAAGCTGGCCTCCTTGGAGAGGCATTTGCTTGTGTTTCATTAGACATAAGTTACTGCTCTCTCAGGGTTTGATTACAGGCTTACTGTAATCAAAGAATCACTTAATTTCCCTGTACGGCAACTGCCTGTGTGGGAGTGGACATAACAGCGCATTGCTAACGCACAACGATAGAAGGGATGACTCTGACTCACTGCAGCAAGAGAGACTTATGTAAGCAGCTAAGATGCGATGGATATGTCATATTTTGCTGTGTTGTACAGGACATGGTTGTCTCCATGCTGACTGAAGCCTTTGTATAATCTGGGTGTTAAAAAGAGGTGTTTTATAATGTTTTCAGCTTAAAAACAAAACAAAACAAAACACATGCACCAAAACAAGCCCAGAGAAGGTGATGTCTTCACAAGTGGTTAAGAGCATTTGGAGTGGCTAACTGACTATAAATGCAGAGAGCCTGCATCTGAAATGCTCCTTACCAAACCCTCGACTACTGCTTGGACATGTTTCAGATTTGCTAATGCATCCGGTGAGAACTGTTGCTCTGGATTCTGCAGGTCCCCTGTTCACTCAAGACAGAGCACAGTTTTCCTCAGTCCCATAGAGGACATGAGGTTGAATGCACAACCCCCACTATGGTATGGTAGTTTTGCACAGGTAAAAGGGCTGCTGTAGGAGACAGCAGAGCAGTTGCTAAGAGGTAGCGAGCGGCGTGGCTGATATGTAATGAAAGGGCATCCTTTCACTGCATGAAGTGCAGAGTATTTTTCAGAGCAGAGCAGAGACTTGTCACGCTGTTAAGACAGCAAGGCTGTCTTGAAACTACCCCTTCAGTAACTCTTCTTGGAAAGGCTGTCCTTTCTGCCCTCTCAGTGAGTAAATGCGCTGAAGTTGTCACACAGTGTTTTCTTTCGCTATGTATTCCTGACTTCATTTTGCCCCTCGCTTGCCTTTTTAGATGGTAATGATACCTCTTAAAATGGTGACAGGCTGCTCCTTGCCCACAAAGCTGCTGGTATGCTTTGTTACAGAGTTTTAAAAGGGTTACTTGTATGTTTTGCTTTCTCTAGGGTTTAGCATCAGGCCTCTGGTTCAGTTGGAAACTGTTCACAGATTTCTCATGGCTTTGGATCAGCATGAATATGAGGAAAACCCAGAAGAACGTTATGCCAGATATTTTTTCTTTTTGCAATGTGTTTGCATAGCCATAGTTAGCAAGTTCTCTCTACATAAATCTTGAATTAAAATACTAATTTAATTTTAAATATTTTTTAAATTATCTTTAGACTTTGTAAACAAACCACCCTTCCAATTCCAATTTACATACTCGCTATAGCTCTCCCCCACATACAAAACAGCTTGCCCTGCACTTTTTTTTTTTAAACATAATTTTGTGCGTGGCTCTTTCACATAGCAACAAATACACTTCTTTCTATCATAAATACAAGGGAAAATTGCAAATGTAAAACACAAAAACTAACAGTAGGGTCTTTGGTGGAGGTGTAGCAACTTTTAACCTGCTCTTTGGAGGCTGTTACAGCTGAGCTATTTGTCCAAATGTCACTTTTAAACTGTTCAAGTGCTGCGATTCAGACACATCAATAATCTTCAAACACACATGAGCTATAAAGTAACATCTCTTTTCAGTGGACCTCGAAGAGCTCTCTTCTCCCTGCTACTTGAAGCTGTTAATTAAAGTTCGGAAATCCTTCACTGTTTTTATTCTGTGATGTTGGAAGTGAACAGGTTGGAAGAGTGGGGAAGGTTCTTTAATGTGACATTGTTTTTGGTGTTTTGTTTTGTTTTGTTTATTCTTCTGTTCCTTTCCCAGCCTGCCTTGTGAAATTAACTTATCATTGTTACAAAATCTAGATTTTTATCTTTTTGGCCCTTAAAAATTGAGAGCGGTTATTCTGCCTTTTAAGTAAATCTTTCTCCTCTAATGCTCTCCTCCCATCCGAATTTCTGGTTTGTACAGAGATTAATTATTAAAACATTTTGGTTTGCAGGGAGGCTGTGTGGATTCAACAAATCAGAGCCTTGCTCTGCTCCTCATGACCCTTGGACAACAGGATGTTTCCAAAGTCCTGTTGGGACCTCTGTCTCCATACACGTAAGTTGTTTTGTTCAGCTTAATTACCCAGTCTCGTTTAATTTGGTAGTTATACCACTCAACTGGTTTCTGTATATAGAAGACTGCATGTGGCTGTGAATAGAACAGCTTGTACTGTCTTCAAATGAGACAGGTGACTAAGTTACCTTGTGTTTATTTGTACACGTTGGAAGATGATTTCCTTATTGTTATGCATTCTTCCTGATTCTGAGGCGATTAAAATTGCCGAGATGGGGCTTATTGTTGGTTCCTGGTCTCGGATTGGATGTCTGCGTCAGTTAGCTTTTTGTTGCCCCTCTTAGGCTGCTGTGTTTTCCTAGTGATCTCTCTGTAGCTCTGGCAGTAAATGGGACGTGTTTTGAATGGTTAGCCATTCAGGCCAAAGACGCAACAGCCCAAAGGAAAGGGCTCTGGGGTTCAATTCATGGAGCTGTCTGCAACCCCAGAGCTTTAGTCCTGTCATGCAGCGGGCTTCTAGCTTGCTTTCTAGCCTCAGTTTTTGCTAAACATTTGTCTGTGGCTTTTTCAGAGAAGAGAAAAGTAATATAGCTCTTCTCATGCCACTAGTTGCAACACACAGGTTAGATGAAGGGCATCCTGTATCAAGAATTTCATTTACTCCAGCTGGCTGACAAGTGATTGACTAGACCTCAGTTGTTTAGAGACTGCCTTGTTGTCCTTTGAGCAAGACAGGGGTGGAGAGCTGTTTATCTGAAAGTGGTAATCAAACAATGAGACCATGAACTGTCCTTTTTCGGTTATCATGGTACCGGTGCTGTATACGTGAAAGGTACAGTACTGTGATAACTGAAGAATGGTGGTGCCATCACATGATAGCTAGAAATCACCTCAGTGCTGTTAAACCCCTGATACCTTGGAAACAACATCTATCAGACTGAGGGAAAGAAAGGGGAGCCTCCCATTGCATAGGGGTGAAGTAATCACTAGA